CCAGATTTGTGGTTTCCTCGTCCGGACAATTTAATTGTCAGTTTAGTGACGCAAAGAATGACGATAGGGATATTTTCGTCTTTTCATCTAACAAAAATGCTGCTCAGGCGTGAGACACGTTGCTAAACCTATAGCATTCAGACACGTCATCTGTAGGACCCATTCAACATTATCTGTGCTTTACCTCCCCGTCACCGCCTTGTAAGACTCGTCTCTCCCTTTGACTTTGACCAAGACTTCATTTTCTCAATTTTCTAGGCAAAATATACACCTTATTCAATCAATATTCAGAACATGTACATTGGAAACCATTTAATAATACTAAACCAATAATAAAGTTAATTTAGAACTCACTAATTTTTTTTTGTAAAATTTCGACTTCCATTGATTACCACCCCAAAAAGGTTTTCAAGAATAAAAAAATATTATTTTTATAAAATTTGAAAGCATATAACATTTTATAAAATTATCATTATATTACATTTCATGAAATTTTAAAGATAAATTACATCAAAAAATTTAAAACATAAATTTACAAATTATAAACTTTCAATTGTTGTAATCTTTACATATGCTAAACCAAATTTTTGCCATAGATTTGCAAATCATAAACTTCAATTGTTATAAAATCATTTGCAATAACACTTATATCGTTAGTATAAAGACCATTCAACAACTTTAAGCAGATTTTGCAAACACATATGGTTAAGAAGAGACTTGATTTCACCTGAAACATAGTCTCTGAAGTGCTTCAATGGCATTTTCTAGCGACCAAGAAAGTTCATTGTCCCAAGTAACAGTTGCGGCTAACATCGAGCTTCCTCCAAACTCATTAAACTCAACATGTGTGAGTATCAACACAAGCATATTAGTAAACAAGTCTTGCTCCAGATTTTGATTACAAACGGAAACATAGTGCAGAATAATATACCAATTATCTATATAGATGGTTAAGAAGTTCAATCTAATATTTTAGCAAAGGAACAATGTCAGAACTATCTATAGATGGTTAAGAAATTATTCAAACAGGCCAGGTCTTTGCATATTTGCTAAATATCAACTCAAGGTTCACCGGCGTAAACTTGCAAAGCATAAGGTGGTTAGACCATACATGTAGCTTGACCCGAATTTCCAATATACAGAGGGGTTACGCACTTCCCTTCATTGTCATATGTTTTTGAGTCGCTTCCATGCTTTGACTTGGGTATGTTGTGGATGTATATAGGAAAGAACGGTGAAGGTAACCACCCCTGTGTCATATCAAGTCGGACACTAACAACATAAACATTGATCTCAATAATTTATGAGTCTAGTTACCATCGAATTAATGATTAATAAAATTATACGCGGAGGAGGATGAAAGGTGTTACTGGTAGAGTAGCATAGCTAAGAGCCAGGTTAATGACAACATCTATTATAATCGATCCAATGATATTGAAACCAAGCATTCGCAGTCCTAATCATAAGAAGGAATCAAGATTTC